TGTTTGCACTCTGTGAATTAGTGCCTTTCCTCATTTAAAGGTGAGCGAGCCATCTCCACCCCTCCTCCCTTTCTGAATTAAGATTAGGAGCAGGTGACAAACCACAAGGCTAATTTCCCCTCCCTCTTTAAAGCAAGGAATACTGCCTACCAAGCCATTTAGCATTCCAATGGTAACAAAGAAGGTAATTTAAAAACAGGACAAGCACAAGTCATTTGCCAAATCCTACCAACTTCCACATTTAAAAAAAAAAAAAAGAAGAGGCACCACCCAGAGTGAATTAAGCACACCCACCATTTTGTCCTGGAACACTGTTGCTCTGTGACCCCCTATTAGCACCAAATTTGGACTGGTGCTATTATGAGCAGCAGCAGTCCAGCAGCTGTTGGCAGTTTGGCAACTAATTTATCCACTCCCTCTGCTCAGAGCTGCCCTGGCAAATCCCCCACCCTTCCCAGCAGGTACCTTATGCTCTGGTGAGGATAGCAAGGCTTCTGCCACCCAGCAGCTGGCAGTGGGCCTGCAGGATTAACTCGGCACCAGACCTGGCAGCCGATCTCCTGATTGCCCAACTGGTTCATCATGCATGGCATGCAGGTCAAGCAGAACTTTCAGGGAATTCCTGTGTTCCCCTACAGACCACACCCCACAATATCTCAGTTGTGGGGGATGTGGAAGATAAGTGCTTCAGCTTTCCTCACTCACTATTAAGGCACATCATGTACACAGAAAGGCAGCAAGATTTAACATAGCTCATAGATTCAAAGAAATGCACTTGAAAGTCACTTGCAACTTTTTACCATATTTTTTCCGGATTTCATCATGTCGAGATTTCATCTCTGCTCTCCTGTGGGAAGAGAGCAGACCAAGAGGTTTTTATGGGGGTGGGGGAAAAAGAGGAAAAGCAAATAAAGTTCTGCCTTCTTCCTAATCTCCCTTCAGAGAAGCAAAGTCTTCTCTTAAGACTCCATCTGCATGTAGACTTGGTCTTGTCTCCAGAATAACTGAAAAATGAAAGAGGATCAAATGCCACCAGCCCAACACACATAAGCAATCCTACAGAAGAAAGCAAGCTTTGGTACAGATGCAAGAGATGATTAAAAGGTAACAGTATCAAAATTCCAAATAGGCTGATATTTTAGCTCGGTTGACAGTTACTCAAGAGCCCAGTCCAGCTCCATCTTCTTGATTAAGATGCTCAAATCACCATTGGATCACAGCATCTCTAAACACAACATTAATAGTCATAAAACTATCCAAACAAACTGGATTTGTGAACATGATACAAGTTAGAATGAAGTTCAACTACAGGCAGACACTGCTGCATGCAAGTGCAAGGTCATGTGCACTGCTGGCACTGGACACTTGAAAGCCATTTGAAGAAGCTCTCAGTGCCAAGGTATCCCCTACACTGACTCCAAACAGTCTTATGTCTGCATTCCCATCAGAATGCAAAACATTCAGTAACTAAGTTCTGTGTGCACCTATCCAGATCTACAAGCAGCAGTGGCTGATAGCGTCTCCACTACCTGAACAAAGTGACTGGTAAACAGACAGCAACTACTTTACAATTCGAGCAAAATGGAGCACTTCATTTCTCCTGTACAGAGAGAGAAGTGATGATCAAGTCCTCACATTGGCTACTCACCTCTCCTCTTGCCGTACTCTCCTCTTCTCCCGCTCTCTGGCAGCTTTTTCATCATCCTTGTCTGGCCTGAAAGAAATAGGACATCGTTAGCCATTAACTGCATCTAGCACCTGCCATGATTTTGGCAGCAGCTTCAGGTTACCTTGAGCTGTACTTCTGAAAAGTGACAGGAGGGACTAATCTGTGAGGATACTTGCTTTTTGCTTTTTTTCTTGCAACAGCAGCAACAGCAAACGACCAGGGCAAGAAGAATCGCTCCTCCCACCACAGACATTGCAATGATCAAGGCTTCAAAGTTCACTGAAAGAAAGAGAAATATTACCAACTATTGTATATTGTAGTTCATTAATTCATTCCACAATGAACAATAGAGAGGCACCCGACAAAACTGGTGTCACTGTAGCCTAGTTTTGCAACAACGCACATTTTCCCTTGGCTGTAAACCCCAAGATATACTTAAAAACAGCACTTTATATTTATTTAAGAAATGGTTAGGAGACTAGAACAAATGCCAGCATTCATAGGCCATTTCCCTTTATAAGTGGTGAACTCACCAGAGAATAAGAAACTTTGCCTGGCAGTCTGACGACTGTGGGGAAGCGGCATTCTATCAACAGGCCACTAGACACACAAGTCAAATGTCCATTTTTCACACAATGGGGTAGGTAAGTTTCCAGCTCTTGATTTAGATCAGTAGAGACTTTCTCCATAGCCAAACTTGAAGGCAAGTTTCTTCATACACATTCCCGGTCTTCTTCCCCTCCCCATCCCTACATAAGATTTGTTTACTCATTGAGGAAAGGAGTCAATTGAAGTCTGTCCCCAGTTAAGAGTTCAACTTTCAGGCTCCGAAGCATTTGTGCACAGCCACTACCAGACAAGGTTATTTGGGGTTCTTTATCTGGATTTCCCTTGATCCTCTCCCAACTGTAGTGGAAGTGGGCACTCTTCTCTTCATTCCACCCATCTACACCCTTTTCCTGTGTATAAAGCAGGGGTGTCAACTCTTCTGGTTCCATGTCCCAGAGCTACAGGTGGCATGTGGATCAACTGAGACCCAGGGGTAACACTGAAGACAAGATACGGCTCTGTAAACTGGGTTTAGCCCAGGGGCTACATCTTTGATACCCCAATATAAAGGGTTGCAGATCCCTCCCTTGCATCTTCTCCACATCATTAAATAGCAACAACAGCATGTCTGGAGTGTGGAAAACACAGCTCTGCTTGCCACTCCATCATTGATGCTAATCCTGCTATTTCATAGATTCATAGATGTAGGGTTGGAAGGACCTTGCGGATCTTCTAGTCCGACACCCTGTCCTGGACAGGAGAGAAAACTGGGCTCAAATGTCTCCAGCTTGGTAATCATCAAGCCTCCTCTTAAAGACCCCCAAAGTAGGAGCCAGTACTACTCCCCTTGGAAGTTGGTTCCAGATCCTAGCTGCCCTGACTGAAGTATACCTTCTAATGTCTAGTTTGAACCTACTCTAACAACTTATGGCCGTTATTCTTTGTTACCCCGGGAGGCGCTTGGGGGAACAGTGTTTCTCATGTTCCCCACTGGTCCCTCCTTGTAAGTTTATAAATGGCCACCAGGTCTCCTCTCAGCCTTCTCTTGTAAAGGCTGAACAGGTCAAGGTCCTAGAGCCTCTCTTCATAGGGTCTGCCCTGCTCTTCCCAGATCACGCGAGTTGCCCTCCTCTGGACCCTCTCAATGCTGTCCACATCCCTCCTGAAGTGCGGCGCCCAGAACTGGACACAGTACTCCAACTGTGACCTGACCAGTGTAGCATAGAAGGGGAGGATCACTTCACTGGACCTGCTCAAGATGCATCTGTAGATGCACGATAAGGTGCAGTTAGCCCTACTGATCATGTCCTCACATCAGCGGTCCCTGTTCATCTTGGAATCGATAATGATTCCAAGATCTTTCTGCCACCATGCTTTTGAGAAGAGAGCTCCCCAGCCTATAGATGTGCTGCTGGTTCTTACTACCCAAGTGCAGCACCCTGCACTTGTCAGTATTGAATCCCATCCTATTCTCATTTGCCCACCCCTGTAACCTGTCCAGGTCCAGCTGTATCCTGTCCCTCCCTTCTAGTGTGCCTACCTCACCCCAAATCTTGGCACACCCACCTCACTTTCACAGAAGGCATTTATTGATCCTTAAATTAGCTGATGCAATACCCAATTTAAGGCTCAAGAACCTCACTTTCCAACTCCCTAAGCTTTCTGGTGGAAAAAGCAACTTTTAAAAATCAGCCAGGTTTGGGCTGTTTGTGCAACACAAAGGTAACAGCCATTTGCCTTACTCACGGAAGTAATATTCATAGTCCTAAAGCCAGAAGGGGCCTCCTGTATAGCACAGACTGAAGGCTTTCCACATTATACTCCCTGCACCTTGCTTATTTCTGGTTTAACTAGGCTATCTTTTACTGAGACTGGATATCTTCCTGTAGAATGAGCTTGGCTCTTTATTGAAGGGTTCCCTTCTACAGTTACAGTCCATAAAGAGGAGAAAGAGCAGTCCCTAGAGCTTGTACCAATCCCAAATGCCTGCATAGGTCCTGCAGATTTTCCAATTGCTAAGCCACATTTGAGTTCAATGGTAATATTCAGTGTTTCACATTCTAAGCAGGCAACAACCCACAAGTCACTTCCAGCCAACAGGAAGGAAAGTGGTTCAGAAGATTTGCCCACACTTGGAGGAGTTTGAAAAATCCCAATCTAGGATCATTTAAGACAGAGGGCCAGAATTTTAGACACTGGGAAAAAGGAAAAAAAGTCTCTCCTTTTACAGGCAGTGGTACAAGCGACAGGGGCCATGCTGAGCTGATAGGGTATCATCAGGTTTAACTACAGTACGTTTCACATGTTACTTAAGTAAAACCCACTTACCCCAGCAGACTCCCCATCGGGCAGAACGCAGCTCACAGAGACTGCTGGGAGGGAGAATGCTTCTGACAGGATACTCCACACATTTCTTGCTGCTGGTGCACCAGAGACACTGCAAGTAGTAAGAAGGAAGCATGTAAGTGTTGCAATATAAAACTGGGACTAGAGAAGGGAAAAAAAAAAACAACAGATAACTGCAATAATACATCTATTCATTCATTACTTATCTTAGATGTCCAATTCAACTTGAGTTTTACTTTAAACAGGCTGGACAGGACAGATCCCATCTCTGGTAGGGGACTTGGACTAGATGACTGCTGGCAGTCTGTTCCAGCCCAGCTTCCCTATGACTAAAATCTGAATCAACTCAGGTGTAGACAAGTCCTCCAACTGCACTTAACTAAACAGGCAAGGGGCCTCTAAAAAAAACCCACACACAAACAAAACACTGCTGCTGCTGCTTTCATCAGCTTTATATTCCAACTATTTTATGGGATGCTGCCATGTATAGACAAGCTCTGGTATGCTAATGGTGTTGAGAACATAGAGTAGGCTTGCAGTGCATGAGGAAAGCTCCAGAACAGTTTAAAAGAAATTTGCAAGTAATAAAATACAAGCACCTTGGCCTCTGCCAAAGTGTTCAAGGAAATTCTGCTTTTGATAAGAAAGGGTGGCTCATCTAAGGCAAACATATCAGCAAGCAAAGGAATGCGAAAACAAATGTTAAAAGAAGCCTCCATGAACATACCTACTCTATGAAGACTACTGAATAACTTGAGGAAAAAAAAAAAACAACAAAAAACCAACTTTGTAAACCGATTCAGTCACGATGATTGCAGAGTTAGTTTGAGCTATCAACTGTAGCTGTGTCTGTCCCCTGCCTCCCCACAAGAAAAGCTTGAAAACAGAATGTTTTCATACCAGATAAGATAAGGACATTAACAAGCATTTTCCCCACAAGTCTGGAGGCAAGTCATTCTAGTCAACATTTGATAGGATGAGGCTTTATGGATTACAACGCTTCATCTCGGGAGCAAGCCGTTCAATTACTAGCGAAAGACCGAGTCAAAACAGAGAAGCTCACTACTGACCCACTGAGAAGGTCATGTCTGCACATGCAGTACCCTTCCAAATTCCCTAGTGCTAGTTTGATATGGGCAGAGATGCCTCAGATGTTCCCGACACGGTCCTGAAACAGAAGCGGGTTGGGATGTCACTGCCAGTGTGGAAACATAACTAAGATACCCAAATTTACCTTTTTAAAGAGGAGACTTTTAAAATGCTAAAGTCCCAGGATTACATACTGCCCCTTACAAGGCAAGTTACAGGGCAAATATAACAAGTCTCCAAAGAAAGAAA